AGAGAACCCCAAAATACTGGGGAATCAAACAACATACTTCTAAATATAGCTGACAAAATAAATCAAAGAATATTTTAAACCAAAACTTATAAAAATTAAAAAAAAAAAAAAGAAAATCACAAAACTGACAACACTCAAACTTCAGCTACATTCACAGGGAGGGACTCTCAAATAACTGAACTTAGAACACTCACCTAGCACGTGCAAGGCCCTGGGTTCAATCCTCAGCACCACGTAAAAATAAGTTCAATAAGTTATTCTGTCTATCTACAATTAAAAAATAAATATTTTTTAAAAAAGAATGAAAAATGAGATTTCACTACAAACGTCAACAGAAATAAAAAGCTTTTGTAAGAGAACACTGTGAAATCTGTAATCCCAGCAACTCTGGAGGCTCAAGCAGGAGGATCGAGTTCAGAGCCAACCTCACAATTTAGGAAGACCCTTTCTCAAGATAAAATATAAAAAGGACTGGGGATGAAACTCAGTAATAAAGTGCCTCTGGTTCAATCCCCAGCATCCAAAAAAAAAAAGAGAGAGAGAGAGAGAGAGAGAGAGAGAGAAGACTAGGAACAACTGTATACCAATGGATGAGACCGTCTAGATGAAAAGGACAAACCGTCACCAACAAAACTGACTCAAGAAGTGGAAAGGACACACAGACCTATAGCAAGTAAAGAGACTGACAGTGATTTTAAAATCCCCAGCCAGAAAAGACCCAGCTCCACAACCAAACACTTGAATGAGAATGACAGTGACCCCTCAAAACTTCCCAAAATAATGGAAAATACACTTCCCAATCCATCGTATGACGCCAAGCCAGATAAAGACATCACAAGGAACACGCCTGCCAGACCCTCAAGGACAGACCCAAGTACCCCCAACAAGACCCCAGCACACAGAATTCAGCAGTCTACAAGAAGGAGTTGTGCCCATGACCAAAAAACATTTATGCAAGGTTGCCTTAGCTCCAAAACTGAATTGATGTAACACACCACCATAATAAAGGACAAAACCACGTGACTGCCTCAATAAATACAGAAAAAAGGAAAATGTCAAGAAATTGAAATCTCATGTAAGTTTCAGGTGATGGAAAATCAGCCTACTCTGGAACTCACCCGGGAATCCTCGCAACATGATGGAACCAGGTCTGGAGAGGAGGAACACGAACCCGGCCACTCGAGTCACATGTGGAGTCACACATGGAAACACCTGACAACACCCAGATAAAGGTGGGCACAGGGAACCAGACAAAGTGGCCTGAGCAGGTGTAGGCCCCCTGCAGTGTTGGACCCCACAGGCAAGCCTCCTGTGAAGGAGAAGTCTGCTCCCCCAGGGACCAATACCACTGAAGGGCAACCCTCGACACCCTTACCACTCCAGGGAGCCCCTGGCCAAGGTCACCAGCCACTCTTATTTCCTGCCTCTTCTGTTCCCCCAGCAACATCTGTCACCTGCCCTCTGCCCATCTTCATTCCATATCCCCACATTGTGCTAATGTCCAGCCTGTCCACTCCAGCCATTTCACCATACTCCCCCAGGCCCCCAGGATTCCTCCATACCCTCACCCAGAGGACTCTCCCTGGGCCATCACCCTTTCTCAGGCTACACCTGCCCATGTCTTCCCCATGCGGCACCCGTTAACTCCCCCAACGAGGGACCATGCCTGCACCCCAGGAAGCACACCCTTAAACCCAGAAAGGAAACCCAAACCAGGCCAGAGCTGTAGATGGCCTTTGTCCTGGCCACCTTTGCCTCCCCTTTTGCAGTGCTCCAGCACCCTGCACCTCAGAGCTCCTGCTCAAATGGTTAAAGCCTACCTCCAGGGGCTATGCAGTCCCCTCCCAGGACCTGTCTACCTGTGCACAGTGCAGTGGGCATACCTGGGCCGGGAGCCAGGTGCCTACTGTGTGGCACAGTGGGCTGTAAGTGGGGTGGGGGTGTCAGCCACGATCCATAGCCCCACAGATCTGCCAGTGTCCCCACCTGCCCCCCCCCCAGGGGCACTCCACCCAAGGAAGCTCAGCTCTAACAGCCCCATCAAGTTCTCAACCATCCTCACAAAGGCAGTAAAGCCCCCAAACTGCCCAAGTACGGGTCAGGGAGAAGGCTGAAGCACCTGCCATGTATAAACTGCAGTAAATCTGCCATATCTCCAAAATGCTGGCTTGTAACAGGCTGCAACCAGCAGATCCCACACCAATTCATGTACAAAACAGTGTTCACCCTGAGCACAGGAGAACTCCTAACACTGCCGAGGACACTCCTGCCTACAGGAACCTTGGAAAAAGACAACGTGGAGAAGGTCACTATTCCAGAGCAGTGCAGGAAGATGGGTACAGCAGCTGGTCTCTGGGCGCAGCCCCCAAGCCAGCCACCACAGCCGCAGGACACAGTGCACAGATGCAGACGCTGGCGTCTGCTCACTGAGATGCATTCTCACCAGTTGCTCAATACCCTCAGTGGGTTAGAAATTAAAATATTGAAGTATGGACTTTTTAATGAACATTATTGATTCATAAAACCATCCACTTAAGAGGCCAGAAATCAGCTCCTTGGATTGATGCAAAATCCACCATTGGCTTTTCCTGCTGAGCTGCAGGCCAGCTAGGAAGAGCCCAGCCCCACAGCCAGGCAGGGGTGGATATGACATGAGCCAGGAACATCACTGGGCTCAGTGTTTATGGTGCAAGAAAATGCCTGAGGGGGACGCCAGGCAGGGGACCACCCCCAGCCACAACTTCTGAGCCCCACACCTGGTTCCTCAGTTAGAGAGAGAAGAGATGCTCATTCCCACTCAGTGCTGCCCATTCAGGGCCAGGAGCTAATACAGGTATCCACCCCAACAACTATACCCTGGGGGGTGCATCCCGGGAAGCCAGTGCCCCGTGGGGCTCCTGGCCTTCCGGATCTGTTTCCACCTCTGAGCATCTGCAAAGAGAATGCCCCCATGAGCCCAAGAGCTGAGACCAGAGAAAGCTGCTCAAATATCTGGAAGTTTCCCTGGCCATGGTGCTTGATGCCAGGGGGTCAGGGTCAGGAGGGACCTCGAGGCGTCCAGAAGCTCAGGGGCAGGCCCCACCCTTCCTCAGCTGGGAGGAGGGAGGAGGATGGGCAGGGTTAGCCTGGGGCTCTGCCACACCCACAGCTGTCCCTACATTCCCAAAGCCCACCCCATAGGGGCCACCCAGGTCCCAGAATGCCTGGCCAGGGGCACTCAGGGCAGTACTCCAGCACTGACATAAGTAGACACTGGCATCCACAAAGTCTCTAGTGGTCACTATATCCTTGCCTAGGAACTCCTACTAATAAGCCTCCTCCAGGGTGGCTCCTGTGGAGAGCGAGGCTGGCCCCCAGGGTGAAGGGACACAAGCCTGATGTGCATTAAGAGGGGGCCAGGGGTGGGGGTAGGGGTGTCTACCGAGGAACAACCAAGCAGGACAAAAGGGAGTCCTAGGTGCCCCAAGCTACTTCCACAGGAGGTCACCAGGTGGTATCAGGCCTGGGGTATCCACATGCAGTACACAGGTCCATGTTGGCCCCAGCCCCAAGAGGAGAGCCCAACTCCACCCAGGGTTGCACAGGAACCCAAGCCATGGGCCAGGTGCAGCACCCAGATAGGCTCAAACAGTACTAGCCAGGGACAGGGACAGGTGTGGGGGGTCAGAACGAGGCTCAGCAGAAAATCCCACAGAGTGGGCCTCAGAAGACTACCAGGGTCACCTCCTGAGAGCTGGTGATAGGACCCTAGCCCAGCCACCTTCAGGGAGGTGCCCACACAGGAAGGGACCTCGGGGGCCCTCTACACCCACCCCTAGGGGTTCCAGGAGGTCCCCAAGAAACACCAAACACCCTCAGCCTGAACAGCCAAGCTCCCCTTCCTGACGGGGTCCAGCATCTCAAGGTGCGAGTCAAGGACCCAGGCCTTGTCTAGCATGAGGCCAGGTGGTCAGCCCCCCACTCAAGTGCAGTGCTGACACCAGACAGCAGACAGAGCTGGACAGATGGAGTCAAGCTGGCCCCACACCACAGCGGGAGCAAGGCAGGGTTCTGGGCAACCGTGCTGGGACAGGTGGTGATGGCTGGAGAGATCCGGCAGACTCTGGAAGCCTCCTGAATAGCACCCAAGTAGGGGTTCTAAGGCATGGCTACGTAGGACCCCAGGGTCAAGGGCATTAACACAGGCCAGTATCCAGGGGACGTTAGCATACCAGAGGCACAGGGCCAACCTACCCTCCTGCTGCCCAAACACCCTGCCCCAATTCCCCTCTCCCCCACATAGGCTAACGCAGACAGATGCACCAGAGGTCAAAAGCCAACCAAAGCTTATCCCAGAAACGAGAGCCTGACTCAAGCAGATTGCTCAGCTTGACACATCAGGATCTGCGGGGGGCGGGGGCGGGGGGGGGGGAGTAGGAATCAAAGCAGGTAAACGGCAGATCCCAGCAGCACCGCCGAGCTCTGCGCTGCTCGGGTCCCTACTGACCCACAGACCCTGTGCCACCAGGATTCTTGCCCCTCTCCTCCTTCCTCTGATCCCTGAAACCAACCCCAGGCCAATATACCTCTCCAGCGTGGTCCTGGGACCACCAGCCACTCCGGCCTGGCCAGGCCTGGTGTACATCAACCTTGGCAGTCGGGGGCAGCCTGCCACAAGGGCCACAGAGTGTGCCCAAAACAAACAGGAGGCATCTGCCAAATACTAGACAAAAACTATCAAAAGGAAGACTTTTTATTTCAAGTTTCTATGGAAATATTACAAACAATGTAGACTTAAAAGAAGAACACTTAAAATTTTGTTAGTAACTATAGCTTTAAAATAAAAATATGATTAGGCAAAATAATAAATAATGCCATCCCAGGGCCATGTTTAAGATCAAGGCATGTCGTCTGCCTGGCCTGGCCCTGCTCTGCATCTGTCCACATCCCCCAGCACCCTGTCCTTCAGGCCACTCGTGTGCCTGGCCTCCTAATGATATAGGAATGAAAGGCCCACACCATCCAAATCTTGACTTTATTTTTAATATAAAAAATGCAAATTTGGAAACCCACCCTACTTCCCCCCCTAACATAATGCTTTACCTCTTAAAAATAAAAATAAAGTACTAATTCTATATACATCACATGTACCATACAAAAATGTATCCAAAGTTCTATTGCTACCAAAGTGTTCTAAATTAAAACAAGTTACAGAAAGCCCCTCATTGTAAACAAAAGATTACAAGTTACAAAATCAAAGTACACACAGGCCAGAGTCATTTATATAATCACGCAACACATTCTGCTCCCAAACCAAGTTGAATTTTTATGTGCCTGTATAAAAATGCATATCAATATACTTTTGCAAATTTATTTTTCATTATAAAGCAACTGAATACACTTTCTACAATAAATAATCCGCTGGGAGGCACGCCTGTAGGAGTCGGGGCGGACCAGAGGAGACTCAGGGCAGACAGGACGATGAGAAGGAGGGCCCCGCCCAGCGTCACGCTGGCGGGAGTGTTTTTGGTGATTTGCAAGTGATGCACACAGCATAAATTTACTCTCCATCTCTTTGCACAAAGTACCATTCAAAATAATGTCATTTTCTTTCTTAAAATACACATTTGTCATTGTAAATTTACATCCCCGTCTTATTAAATAAGTGGTACTCTGTGTAAAGAGCATGATTTACAAAATTATTAAACATTCAAAAGTCTTTTTAAAAAAAAAAAAAAAGCTACATACAGATGGAAGCAAGTGAGGCACGCGGCACCACCAGAGCGTCTTGCCCACATCGCACCCCACCCACCACGCGCCAAGACGAGATGGTTTCATAGAAAACTCCAAAACAAAACCTCCCCCCGCCCCTGGGAAAAAGAATTAAAAGAACTATGACTATGAAATCAGAATAAGTTAAGTTTTGAACAATATACAAACATATACAGCTTATGAACACTATGGACAAGGCTCACGGCTGGCGACGGCCTGGGCAGCCTTCTGCAGGAGCTGCCTCAGTCAATGTCGCTAAGGTCGCTGGCCGGCTCCCCATGCACACGGCTCAGGTGGTTCATGGCCCGGTCAAAAGCAATTCGCACAGCCTTCCGGATACTGGAGTTCCGCCCTTCCATCATCTTTAACTTGTCGATGGTCTCGTCAACACCAAGAGGAACCATCTTGGACTTAGGAAGCCACTGCCTTTTTAAAGAAAAAGTAGGGAAACTAAGACCCATATGCACATTCTGTAACCGCTAACCACCAGCCCTTGTGGACTAGGAGCCTGGCAAAGCCCAGCTGAGGCTGGCTGGTGTGGACCAGACTTCTCCAGGAGCAGAGTAGGTAACGTGCACAGTGCATCCCCACTTTCCCCATCCCTCTCTGAGAACCAGTCAGTCATCTCCTCCAAATCTCCTCCCTGAGGACAGGCATACACACATTGAACACAGGCCAGGTGAGCCCTAGAACAAGGGGATGCCCTAGGATACGGGTAGCAAGAAGCTACGACAGAGGTCCTTGGATGAGCCAGGCCACGGGAGCCTCCCTCCAGGTGTGATAAGGAACAGCAGCCAAGCAGCCCGCAGAAGCAGGTAGGCAAGGCAGAGAAGATGGCACAGGGTGCAGATGTGTGCCCCAGAGTGGCTGGCTCCCTGGAGTGGAGTGAAACATCTCCTTGTGGCCAGATAGGGAAAGCCCACACCCAACTGGATGCTCCTCTTGGTAACACAAATGGTCAGGACAGTTGGTGTGGTGTGCCCCATCCTCAGAGGGGGTTCTGGATTCTGAACCATGGCACACTGTGGGTTCGAGGTGCTGTAGGCCTCAAAGCAGAGCTGGGGAATGAAAGAGCCAGATGATGCATGCAGAGAGCTCTAGGTAGAGGGGACCTGCATCTTGACAGAGTACAGAGTATGAGGCCCACTGCAGGGGCCCCTGGAACACCACTGTAGACACCAAAAGGAAAAGAAGAAACAGAGTTCAAGCTGGCCAGGACTCAAGAAGAAGAAGAGGAGGCTGTTGGTAGAGAGATCCGTGCTTGATGGTCCTCCCCACAGTCCCTGACAATACCCTTGTCAGACCCCACCATGCACACTGGAAGTGCAAGGACCCAAGGTAGCCAGCACTCTGTGGCAGTTTGGCCCCACACAGCATGGCAGGGTCCAGCGCACTGAGCAGGAAGCAATCCCCAGCCCCGTCCTGTCTTGCAGAGCCCTGGCTGCTGACACTCACCAGCTTCTCTTATTGTCAAAGAACAGAACGAGGAACAGCTTCTCATCGGACTTGGTCTGCATGTGCTCTCCAATCTTCAGCACGTCCAAGGGTGGGGCAGGGATGGTGACACCGTTGTGGTGGCCAGGCACTCGAGGCATCTTGGGGTCGATGATCTGCCAAGGGCACACTCCAGTCACTCTAAGAGCTCACATCCAGAGCTGCACGCCCGGCACACCCCCAGCAGCCACTCACACACCTGCCTCCCGCCAAGACGGCCACACACTGCCAGCAGCACAGGCCATGCACTGGGTCCCAGGCCCCAGCAGAGCAGGCCCCGCCCACAGCGCCCGACTCACCAACGCCGGGTAGGAGGGGTAGCCGCTGCACTTGGCCCACACCACTTTCAGGGGCTCCAGAACGGAGGCTGCGGCGTCAGTGGAAATCCACATGCTGTTCTGCCCCACTTCTGGGAAAGAAGGAAGCCCCAGCAGTGAGTGACCCAGGAGAGCCGCAGTGCTCCTAGGGCCCAGCACAGCCACACAGTCTAAGGGCTGCGGACTCCCAAGCAGGAGGGCAGTCAAATGAACACTATCCCCGGGTCTGAGGGAGAGAGAGCCATCCCACTGCCCCTCCTATGGAAGTCAGGGAACAACCATGTACCCCCCCAACTCCCCATACAGCCTGCCCATGGCCCACGTGCCTCCCTATGACCTGGAAAATCCCATGCCATCCACAGCTCCAAGGCCTATAACACCTATAATGCCAGGTCCCCAACACCCCACTTCCTGAGACCCTCTCTCCAAGGGCAGGCCCCTGGCTTGATACAGATGCATCTTTTAAAACTGAAACCTCAAATTCAAAATCACAATCCTGGCCACTTGCAATAAAACCACCACCTGCTCCTAGGACCCGTCCCCCACATTCCCAGAACCCACCACCTCCAAGAGCCCCCACTAGCCCCAGCCCCTCCTCATGGCAGTACACTCTCATTCATCAGCCTCTCCCAGTCCCCATGGCACCCTGCCACAGCCCACATGGCCTGATCACCAGTGGCCCCACACCAGCCTCCCTGCTGTCCCTGCCCTCCCCACTTCAGGTCTCCGCCCTGATACCCTCACAGCATGCAGCTGCCTCACTGGACACCTAGCCACCAGATCCTAAGCCCCAAGCAACAGAGGGCACTTCTGTCCTCAGGAAGTGCCAGTCAGGCCAGCCCAGCCCCCACCCACCCCACTGTGACCCATTCAGCTGCAAATGGCTAGTGAACCCAACAAACACATGCAGCTAGGATGATCTGGAGCCTTCTAGAGCCTGCCTGATGAGGTCCAGGGTAGTCCTGGGAGCCCAGCACAAGAGTCCCTCCTAAGGGAAGTGGTCTCGGCTCATGGCACAGTGGTCTCTGGGACAGTCTGCAGTCTTCACCCCTGAAACGCTCACCAGAGGCCACATACACAACTCACCAGCTGCAATCCTGGCCGCCTTGGCATAGTTCCCGTTTTCAATGCAGGATATCAGCTCACTCCTATCCTCCAGTGTGTGTCTGCGCACAAGGGCAGGCTTGCCTCGCCCGCACTTGGGTGTGCTAAAACTTGAGGAGGAAAAGCAGAGTTCAGTCCAGGACTAAGACCCAAAGCACTGAAGGCCCTACCCACTGCTTCCCCCAAACCAGGGTGCATGGTGAAGCTGCCAACCACCAGGTTAGGTTGCAAAGATGGAGCCTAACAACCCTAGGACTGGCCTGCTGGTGGGGCTGGAGGAGAATGAGCCTGTCACTGGGAGGGCTGTTCCAGCTGCCAAAGTGGCCTCCATGGGGCAGACACGCTTGCTGGGCTATGCTGACCCCATCTTGCTAAAGGCAAGATTTGGAGAGAAAAAGACAAAGTGTAACTCTAACTATAAATTCTAAAATGGTGCTAATCTTTTATGTAGTTTTATTTTCCACTTCTAATTAAGTTTTAAGAAGCAGATCGATATATCTCATGGGAACTCATCTTTACAGGGCAGAAAACACACATGGACCCCAGGCCAGCCTCTCTCAAGGGGTCTTAAGATGGGAGCTAAAGGCAGGCAAGTGCTGGGGAGACGCAAGAGTGGAGATGAGGCCAGTGCCCACCTCGAGTCACAGAGCGGGCTGTTGCTGGAAGAGATGCTAGACTCGGATGCACAGCGCCGTCGGGGTGCAGCTCTCCTCCCCAGGCCACTGCCTGGCTCCTGCTCGGTCCTGGCACCCCCAAAGCCATTGGTGAGACCTGGAACACAGGTGGGCAGGTGCCGGGTCAAGCGCTGCCAAGGCTGCTGCTCACGTCTGACTTTTCTAGGCCTTATGCTGCACTTTTTTCTTCAATATGGACTGTGTTCTCCAAGAACCCTTCTCGCCCCGTGACCTGCAGCAGTTAGCCCAGCGCTCACAGCACCAGAGACGCAGAAGCGCTCATCCAAGTGAAGTGAGCAGTAAAAGTAAGCACAAGTCAAAGTTATTCTGTGGGGGAAGAAGGCACTCTTCTTAAGGAGACTTTCTAAGAGGTCCCATGAAGGCAAAGCCAAGGGCATCTTACCATCCCTTCCCAAATGACCAGGTCACACATACTTCCATGAACTTGTGACAAAGGCCAGCCTGCCCTCCCTAAGGGGACCAACCCTAGACAAAGCCCATCAGATCCCCAAGGCAGTGGGGCTCAATCACCATCACCAAAAATGTCTAAACTTGCAGATCTGCAGGGCACAGAAAATTATTTTTTTCCTTAAAGTTTTATTTCAAAAGACAGGTATTAACATGAACCTGAAAAATGCTGGTAAAATACTTCAAAATAGGAAGTGAGGCCCCCATTCATCAAGGCTCCCCCAACACCACCAGCACCAAAGCACATGGGTGCACTGCTCAGGGAGGTGGACTCCAAGGGGTCCCAGTGTCTAGTGGCTGGACAAATACAACTTCATCATCTTAGTGAGTAAAAAGTGCTTTAATCAAGGCAGAGCTTAGCTCCTCTGCCCTTCCTCCTGAAGAAGCCACACTCTGGATCAGGAGGCTGGGAGGGGTGGCATGTCCTGGGCCGCACACCTGGCAGGGCTCCCTCTGGTGTCAGTGGGAGGAGGAGGAGGAGGAGGAGGAGTGCTTTTTCCAAAACAGAATCCCATCTTCAGGCTTATCTCATCCTTAAAACAAATCAATTGCCAATCTATTTTCAGAGTAATAACGTAAAGCATTTTTTCAGGAATCTTTTGGAGTGCGTGGCCAGACTGCAGACTTCCAACTGCACGTGCGCTTTCTTGCCTGCCTTCCCTCCGTGAAAAGGACCTGCTTCGGCTGACACAGGGCTCCGATATGCAACAAGCTTCTTCATACCCTTCAACATTTGCTCATTTGCAGTGCAGATGACACATAGGCTGAGGCAAGGTCTGGTGCCACACTCAAGTCACAGAGGTGCTGCAAGGCTGACTGATCCAGGAGCAGAGGAACACACGCCCCAACTCTGGCCAAAGTCAATATAGGTAGCCCACTCAGCAAAGACTGACAGATGGGACAGACGGATCCCATGCTCAGGACCCAGGGTCTGAGAAGGGACTGAAAGCCTAGTGCCCTCTGCCATCACTGAACCAAGCTGCCACAGACTTACGGGTCTGCAAGTAAGTCTCAAGGTCTTGAAGGAGCAGGCACCAGCATAGGTGCCTCCACCCAGGAAAAAGCCCAGGACATCAGCAGGACCAGCGAGGACCACACACATGGCCCAGCAGCCAAGGCCACTCATTTAAGGTATAGGGACAAACGTCACTCCAAAGCCTGAGTGAAAACCCAATGCAGTGATTTCAGATGACAAACTGCAATCTCAAGGGACACTTGCCTCCCTGTGATGTGTACAATCCAAGACCCTCAGTTACAAAGGCCAAGTAGCACAGCCAGGCCAAATGTCAGGTCCATCAGGGACAGCTGGGGAGGACAACCTCAAACAAGGAAGGAACTGAGGGCAGAGCAGCAGCCAGCCTGACCCACACAGCTGGTGGAGGCCAGCTGGGGGAAGATGACGAATAGTGGTAGCCACTCACAGAACCAGCCTGGTGACAGCAAGCCAAGAGGAAGGGCACACAGCCCAGAGGCACTTGAGTGCTCCCAGGAATGATGGCATCAGTCCAACCCACACCAAGGAGCCTGGCTGGGACCCCAAAGTGACCCAGGAAGCAAAAGATGAAAACACAGAGGAAGGTCCGTGATTCTGAGAAAAAAGAGAATGTTCAAATGTCTTCCACTTAGTTCTCCAGAGCACTCCACGTACAGGCTGAAAAGCTGTGTACACCCGGAGCTTTCCACTTCACAAGGTCTCCGCAGTAAGTGCCTCAGAAGGGGCAGACACCTGCTGGGAGCTAGGCACATGGCATAAAGCAGAGCTCGAGGCCACGTGACCAGGAGGGTGTCATGCAGACACAGCTAGGGACAGCCAAGACAGGCCAAGGGCCCAGGACGAGATGTCACTCCAGGTCTCGCAGGTAGGACTTGCCAGTTGGCCCAGCAGACGTTGCACACAGTCAGCCAGAGTGGGTGCTGCTCGATACTCCAGGAAAAAGCAAAGCTGAAGCAGGGCTGGGACACCTGCATAGCCAGACTACACCCTGCAGGGCTTTCAGAGAGGTCCTGGACATGCCCTAGGAGGCAGTATAGCTCAGGGATCCTGGGCCAGCCTCAGAAAGGCCTTGCAGCCACAGCCTGGAGGCCACAGGACTATGACGCAATAGCCAGGCACAGACCCTTCCTGCCTCTACTTCCATCATGGCCCCTGGACTGGCCTCCTGTGCTGATCCCTCCCACCAGCTGCAGGCTCAGGACAAGACATTCTCATGGCACTGAGACCACTGAGCTCACCAGGACCCCTTCCCCTAAACTCTGCAAAGAACTAAACAACACCCAGTCTAGGATGAGCACCCGGCCCACAGGGCATCTGCAAACAGCAGGAGATCACAGAACACCAAGCTTCTAAATCATGTATACAGTGGTAACTTTCAGCCATTGAAAAGGCTGATGTTATGATAAAGAACAAGTGAAAAAATTAAAGGGGCGTACTTTGAAGGGGTTACTGCGCCAAGCCCCAAGCACTCACCTGTAAGCACAATGGAGCCTGCCAAGACCAGCCCCAGGACTGCCCTGCTCTAGAGCAGACCATGAACCAGTACAGATGCCATTAAGCCCAGGTAGTCCCAGCCACGCAAACAGCTAAAGAATCCCTGGTAGCTCCCTTGTACCCAGGACTTTTTGTAGCACACCTGGGGCTGTTGGGGTGATCCCAAAGGACTTCCTGAGTCGGTCAGGACTCCCTTTTCCAAGCAGCTCACACACATGGCAGGCAGGGAAAAGCCCCCAGGTGGTTCCCGGGGAGATCAAGGTGTCCCCACCCACTTGGATGCCAAAAACCCTCTGGCTGCACTAGATGAGAACACCAGGGCCTGGTAAGCTGGGCAGGCCAGCTCTCTGCCCTGCACCTTCAGCCCTATGGTCTCAGATACACCTGAGAATAGAGACACCATGTGTGCTCAGCCTGTGTGAGCAGGACACAAGCCTCACCCCTGCTGTGGCCAACAAGCCACCACCGTGTTTCCTTCCTGGACTCATGTAACACGACATGAAGTGGGCACTGAGCCAAGGCCCAGCGTCTTGTAGTCCACATCCTCCAGGCATGTCAAGCCTCTGCCCTGCTCCAGGCCAGGGGGCCAGAGCACCGCAGGCCAGTGGAAGGTGCCACATTTCCTGCTGGCACATTTTCAGTTCCTGCCTGCCCAATGGACTGCACTTTTGGTGCCCTTTCCCGCCTTTCAACCAAAGTATAGCAAACAAAGACGACTCCAGCCACTGCCTGCTTTTGCAGAGATGTGCTTCATGCAGAACAGCTAGGGACAGCCAAGACAGGCCAAGAGCCCAGGACGAGATGTCACTCCAGGTCCCGCAGGTAGGACTTGCCAGTTGGCCCAGCAGACGTTGCACACAGTCAGCCAGAGTGGGTGCTGCTCGATACTCCAGGAAAAAGCAAAGGAAAGAGAAGCAAAGGGAAAGGGGAAATCAGGTAGAGAACCAAGAGATGAAAGATGCTAACAACTGAGGGAGAAAAATGGTGTCTAGGCCCCATCTTCAGAGGTCATCAGAGGCCAGGTCTGGGCATGCTCAGGATGGAGCTCAGACTGTCCAATTATGTTGTCCATGCTATGACAGTTTTCTGCCGCAGAACAAGGCTCTCCTCGCCTCCTTCACAACTATCCAAACGGGGAGGCCCAAGGTGCTGGAAAGTCCCACCAGCTGAAGTGGGATGCCGGGGCACCAGCGCCACTCCCCCTGCCGGGCTGACTTAGAGATGGGTGGGCTGGCCACAGCAGAGTTCTCCAAGGGCTGCTGTCTGTGTTTTTGATTAGAGGATGGATGAACGGATGATTCCAATATGATCCGCAAGAATTACGTGCAAGGCAAGGAGCAGCGATGGCTCTGTGTCCCACTCCAGTCCAAGTCGAAGTAAGAGAAAGGGATTAGGATCCAAAGAGGGAGCTACCCAGCATATTAGCAGTTAAATGAGAACCTGGAAAACAGCGAAAAAGCCATTTAGTGGGACTGGAAGTGCAGAGACAGCTCAGCCCCCTCCCTGTGCAGGAGGCAGCTCACTGGCTCGCCCCCCACTCATGACTGTCTCCAGCAGGAGACTCCAGCACTCGCCCTGGACGGAAGGTCTAGTGTTGGAAACAAGTGAGCAGTCACAGAGGAAGAAAGTAATCGGACAGGGCCAGCTCCGAAGGTGTGACACCTAGGAAAGTAAGAGTCACGGGCCCTGAGCCAACATAAGGCCTAATGCACCACAGGCCTATCCCATAGCCACAAGCCAGGGTGGCACAATGACAGATGGATGAGCAGTCTCAGAACCAACAAGTCTTTCCTTGATCTAACTTGGAATCCTGCAATGCACTGGAGAATACCAGAGAGTTTCCTATAAGTTCAAAGCACAAAAGTGAATCTGGGAAAAATCAGGACTTCTGAATACTTCAAGGCCTCGGACTACAACTCCAGCTAGAAATTCAGGTGCACAGAGAGCACCAGACAGTTCAGAAGGAAACACAGCTAGTACAAAGGCAGGACTGGCTCACTCAGCCTGCACCTGGCCCACCCTGGGCTAAGCAGACACAGCAGCAGACACCTGCTGTTCCCAAGAGTCTGATCTTAGCGCAATTAAGGTTCCCAGCTGCTCAGGAACACACTTAGGAATCCACCATGCATCCACTGACTCTACTGCCATTCTGGAACAAGAAGCAGAAACCTCCATTTCAGTCAGGGCCAAGGCACACTGTGGATCACACAAATCACAGGTCCGCAGTAAGGCTGCCTTCAGACTCATCGTCACCACTGAAAACCTGCAAAACACTCCAGTGAAATACAGAAACAAGAATGAAAGGGGCACAAGCAACACCTGAGGAACAAGTGTGCATAGCCCCTGAAACCACCTCTCTGGGTGCAGCCCACCAGCAGCATCCAGCAAGGCCTACTGGGATGAGGGCCTGCCTGGCAGAAGCTTGCCACCTGCACATGCAGAGGAAGGCCACAACCTTGGACACCAGATACACGGAGGTTCCCTTTCCCACAGCACCCTGAGTCCAGTATTGCCAACAGACACGAGGCCTGAAATCTGCTCTGCATGGAGAGGCACCTGAGACTGGAGCCTGAAACAGCTGGGGTCTGCCCTGTCACTGTAACCCACTGCTTACCATCTCTGGGCCTTTCCAGTCAGCTCAAATCACAAGGTGGAAAACTCTTTTACTAAATTTGGCTGAGAAAGGCAAAAGCATAGTTAAGGAGGAGTCCCAAGGCTAGAAACGTCCAACCTCTACCTTCATAACAGTGTCTTATGAAACACTCAAATCACTTCGTTTCACGTAGAGACAGGGGTCTCATCAAATTTCTAAATGATAATGCAATACCCACCCATTGGAATTAGAGGACAAAGGTAGAAAGTTCCTATAAGATTGCACAAGCAAATCAAAATGAAAATTCATTCCAAGGCCCTGGGTTCAATCCCTATCAACCCTTCACCTTCAACTTCTCTCTCCCCACCTCCCACACACAATTTATAAAAGCATAGTATCTTTTTAGCTATGGGAGGAAATGTACAAAGATCCACATGGTACTTCAGACCAGCAGTCCCCCAAAGGTGGGAGGCTGCAGACACCCTGCAGCTGGCCACACCCACTACCCTCCCCATCTGACCAGCACCCACTCTGGGACATGAAGTAACAACTACATCAGCCCCATGTTCTCACTGCCAAGAGGTACAGGAAACCACCCGAACTCAGGCAGTGGAGAGGAAATGCACTTCTGTTCATCTAGGTATAAGAGGTGGACAACGAACAAACAGGAACCAAGCTCTGACCAGGGCCAGAAACCAAAGGAAAAACACCTCCAAAACAAAAAAAGACACTGGAGATCTGATCCTGGCACCTTCCAGTTACACAGCCATTATAGAATGACTGGTGACAGTCAATCTTTAAAGAACACAAGAAATTTATTGGCCTTCACCTGAGGGGCAGGTTTGGAGATTGCCAAAGAGCCAAGGTGGCTCCCTTCAACAACAGCATGGTGCAGTTTCATGAGTGCCATGGAGGGGCGCCTAGGACATCTTGGTGAAAGGATGCAAGGCCCTGTACAAGCTCGGCACTGTCTCGGCACGTGGTGAGGCCACACTGCACTAACACACTGCGCCAAACACTTGGAAAACCTGTCCTTTAGACTCATGTGCTAAGTGCTGCAACAGAAGGTCCAGTTGCTAATCAGGGTCCTGGGCTCACAGGGACTTCAAGAGACCCTCCAGAGGGCTGGGAAGGGCTGAGAGGCCAGCAAGTACCCGGTGCAGCCACTCACAGTTCACCCAGACACAGAATGGTCAAGGTGCTCCACCAAACCACACGTGAAGCTGAGTTTTAAAAAACACAGAGAAGAAAGGAGACAAAGGAGAAATCAAGGCCCTTCCCCTGCAGCCTCAGGACCAGCCCTGGCCTGAACACTCCTCACAAGGGTGCCAACCCTGGACTCAATCCAGAGCTTTTGAAAGAAAAAAAAAAAAAAAAACACCTTTTTTTGTCATCTTCTCTGGAAATAAGAAAACAGGACACTGCAAAAAATAGCTCAGCACCAAAAAGTTCATATGAAGACCCCTGGAGGAAGAGCATGTCGCGTGGCAGCCGCCCCTGACATTTACCTGTGTCCAGGCGCTTTCCCGGGGACTCCTCCTCCACCTCGGAGTCTCCACATGTGCTCCGCGACCTTTTCCGTGGCTGCAGTAGAGTCTCCAACCTCGGAAGGACTACAGACAAAAAGGTTTTGGTCCCTAGCTGAGGAGAAGTTGGCTGGGTTTCAGTGTTCTTGGCAGACTTTGGGGGGCTTACACTTTTCGATTTGCAGAAGAGAACAGAAGTGCGTCTGTTTACATCGCTTGATGGCTCCGCCACTGCGGAGGCCGCCGCCGCCGGCACATCGCCACTACTGGCGAGGGTGGGCTCTGGAGGGTGTCCGCTTACCAGTGCGCTCTGAGTGCAAGTGCTATGTGATGCATTATCAAATGTGACTCTTTTGAATAGTTTACTCTGCTCGGGGTTGAGTTCTACTGGTTTGAGGGTTGGTGGTTCTGAATTAGTCTCCGAGTTTGAAGGAAGAGGTAATGCATCTGATGGTTCAAGTTTAGGGGGAGATTTATCTCCTGAAAAAATTATAAATAAAGTGATTTTTGAAACTGAAGATTATAAAATCTATCATAAAACTTACTATAAATGTGAAGTCCACCAATACACTAATTCAATCAAGGAAACAAAGCATCACACACAACCATCTGTCGAGCAGTGGGGCAGCCCGGGGTCCCTCGGGCCACACTGTGTGCCTGTCCCTAACCAGAGACTGCGGTCTGGTACCCTGGGCCCAAGTGCACAGTTACTTTCTGGAGAAAGCTGAACATGTGCTTCGCACACATCAATATTGGCTTGTCACGATTTCTACAACCAACATTCACTTACCTTGAGGAGGACAAAACAGCCACAGAACTAAGGGGACCTCACACAGGATCCCACAGCACTCTACACTGCACCCGAGGCGCACCAACAGAGGGAACAGACATTAAATGGTTCTGACAGGGCTAGCTGCTGGGAGTGGCTGGGGATTAGGAAGGAGTCCCAGGAAGGGCAGGAAATGCCCCACTCCTTCAGAGTACCCATCTGCACAGAAGCCCTAAAGACTGAGGGCAATTCTCACATGCCTGATTTGAACAGTCTTTGGGAGAAGACTATTTTAGCCTCTTGCAACAGGTGTTTAAAAACTACCAATACAAAAGGACATGGAGCCGAGCTCCCAGGTCTAACCGTGGGAGGCAGCTGTCTGGCTCCGTGGAGAGCATGAGTGCATGCCACACGGGGCCAGGACACTGGGGTTTCGGGGTAGGACTGATTTGGGCTACAGGAAGTGTGATATTAAAAAGACAAAGAGAAACAACTTAAATGATCCAGTAGTATACACTATTACTATGTATCTTTTTTTTAATATTTTTTAGTTGTAAATGAATACATTGCATTTATTTTATTTTTATGTGGTGCTGAGGATCAAACCAGTGCCTTTCACATGCAAGGCGAGTACTCTACCACTGAGCTACAAGCCCAGCCCCCTGTGTCATTTTATTTTATTAAAGCTGCATATACCCACAAATCATTTGAAATATGTAAGATTGATATTTTAAATTCAAGAGTTCACATGGAAAATGAAAAGCTTCACAAGTTACAAGCTTCACTATGTGTCTGGCCATCTGATCAACTGAGAGCAAAGACTCTAAAGTTATCTCTAACCCTCAAGAGCAGAGGCTGGTCACGCACCCACAGATGTGTTACTGCCTGCCACAGCAACCCCAGCACCAAGGCACAAGTGCTGCCTCAACCAAAAGGCCTTCTGTCATAAAATGTGTTACACAGGGAACATAAACATATCTAGCATGTATCTAGCATGTAACACTCATGCCCCAGGGGCCAGCCACCTGCTTCTCTAGATCACAATATCTAGGAATTGGAAACACTGAGCTCCAAACACTGACATCAGTGCGAACAAGTCTCCTCACCCACCCTGGTTAAGTCACCATTAGTTTAGGAAAACATGCTAAAATAAATGAAATAAAATTTTTTAAAAAACAAATAAAATCAAACAGTTTAGGAGTATGTACTCACAAAGCACACAGAAGTGCCAAGTAGCTGTGCCTGGGGAACACGCAGAGCCTGCGGAAAGCTCCACTAACACTGTGCCTGCACTGCATCCCTGACAAAAGGGCTGGCTGGTAAGGGGCACGGGGGTGCCTGGGGCTGTCACCAGCTTGATTCTGCAGCCCAGCTTGGCTTGGCTCCACGTCTCTCCTGGGGCCTGCAGGCACGAGGCTTGCGTCCTGGCTAAACTACCTCTCGAGGGCTGAGAAACCCATCTGTCTACCACTCTGGCTCAGCCCTGGGGGCCTTGTACTCCTGCAAAAAGCCATTCACCGCAGTCCACATCTTCCAACCCCTGGTGCTGTGTGGCCACACTCCCCAGGTGTCCTCCACCCATGCACTGTAGTCAGCCCACATGTAAGCCCAGGTTCCCAGCCACCACCCTGTGGCTCACTGGACATGCTGCTGTGGTGTTTACAAGGCGGACACAGGAAGGCAGGCACTGGACAGAGAAGGCTGCCCAGATATACAGACTCAAAAACACCTCCACCCACTGTGGGACCCACACAGGCTGCTCAACCTCTCTGTGCCTCCATTTCCTCACCCATAAAATGGGGAAACATCAGCACCCCAGCCTCTCTGGGCAGCTGCAAGGAGAGTGAGTTTCTAGGGTGGCTGGCTATGAACACATCCCCAATAGCTACCACCCCTTCTGCCAGGGCTTCGGCTGACAGAGAAACGTGCCCAGTCAGGTCACTCAAGTGAAGCCAGATGGGAAGTTAATACATGCCTATGAAATTCTTTGTATCATTGGCTGTTATCAATCACATGCTGTTATTTAACTGCATGTGAGAAATGCTCGGTTAACTTCTAGAATAAATTCTACACAACTCAAGCACACAGCTTGAATGTGAATATAAAGGCAGGTACCCTAAAGTCCTCCTGACCAAGACTTGGCTCACACACAGCAGCAAAACTGCTAAACATGAAACAGCCTCACACACGGGGTCAGATCCAGACTGGCTACTCCATTAAACTGAGGGATCTGGTGACCATGCTTTGACACACCTGGCCACCTTCCATCTGAATGCTTGCACCCAAGCCCAAACCTCTGGAAACCACTGGGTTGGGTGGGGGGTTAGCCCATAGGAACATTCCCACCAGTGCTACCAACTGCTGTCCTCCTGGTTCCTTTCATCAGCCACCCTGCAGGAACAGAGCTCACATGCTAAGCATTCTGCACTTGAGTTAAAAATCCCTTCCAAACCTATCTATCCCTTCTGGCCATAGCATGGCACATACACAGCAAGAACCTGACTACTATACACACAGTGGTGCCACATGCCTGCACTGCACTGACTCTGGAGCCTTCAGCAAGGGACAAGCACACCTCCTCGTGAGCCATCCAGGAGTGAGGTACAAGCCTCACTCACCACGTGTGGGCTCTTGCTCCTCCCAAGGCCTCTGCTTCACCAATCAACTGAAACCCCACTGGTGTAAAGGCAGAGGGAAGGCTCCTAAGAGCTCAAGTTCACCTCACAAGGCTCATCATGCCCAAGTTCTAGACCTCGACCTCACCCAGCTGGATCTTGGTAACTCGAGTCAAGACAGAGGGGAACCTGGCAAATCAGCCACTCACCCCTGGTGTCAGACCAAGTCACGGCCGGCCAGAGAGCTGTGTGTCAATGTGCAGCACCGAGGGTTATCCTGCCTGAAGTTCTTCACATGCAAACAACACAAATGTCACATCAACATCTTTCCACTGAAATTTCGGTGAAGCTATGCATTTGATATCAAGGAATTTCTGTCTTTACAGGAGTAACAATGCTGCAGGTATATTTAATTAAATAACAGAGGTCTTAACCTTTCAGAAGAATGTGCCGAAATATTTCCGAGCATCTGGTCCCTGGTCTCAGCCATCACAGACACACTGAGCACACCTCCACACCAGCTCAGACACACTTCTGGCTGCCCACCCCCTGTTCACGCCATTCCCCATAGCATATCTGCTCTGCCTGGAGATGGGACATTGCCCTCTACTCCCCTCAGAACAGAGCAGGCTGCTTCTTTCCCCATCTGTCTTTCCCCTTAGCTAGAAGGAAAACACCCTTTTTGTGAGTTCAGTCATTTCAAACACAGACCCAACAACCTTCAGCCATTCTAGGTGTCTTTGCTTCAGATAATACCATGCATGTTTTCCCTAAAATGACCCCAGCTGGCTCATGCTCAAGGTCAGGGGAATCTGGGGAGCCACACTCACAGCCGAGTGAGAGTCCTGGACCCTGTGCACACACTGTGGATGGAAGGCACCTTTGAGGAAAGACCTGCAAAGGCAGCACAGGACTGCAGTGGGAAAGGTGGTGTCAGGGCGGGGCTCTCCAAGGTGGAGCTGCTCTGATCAGGGTAACCAACCTGCTGACAAACCTCCTCCCTTAACTCACCGTTTTGTTCAAGGGAAAGAGACACTAGACCTAAGAGCGGTTAAACCCCAGGGTCATCCTCAGTCAGGGGACCGGCTCAGGCAGTGGCAAGAGGATCACCCTGGGAAACAGGCAGTGATGCCATCTAGGACCCACCAGGGCACAGGGACAGCAGCAGATGCCAGAAAGTCTGGCTGTCAAAGGTTCCATGAGCAAATGCTCCTCAAAGAAAGGTGCAGAATCTCCAGAGTCAGTAGGGTGTTACATGCTAGTGACAGAGGCTCACAGAGCACAGGGTGAACATGGGACACACTGAGAACTTAATTCTTTACCGTGTGAACAGACCACACCACCACCAAAAAGGATGGAAGGGAAGGGGCACAAGCACGCCCCAGCTGGACAGGCGGGAGGACTTGCCAAGCCCAAGAAAGCCCAGGTGCTGGAGTGACTTCCTGCCATCGCCTGACAGCAACAGGATGGAAGGCCTGACCACGCGGGGGCTGTCTGACACATTCAGCAGCCACCAACGGGGAGCTGCAAGAAGTGACATGGTGGGGACAAGCAGGGAATCCCGTGTCAATCAAGAGCACACTCACAGCAACTGCATCTGTGGGTCTGCGTTCAGCTTCCCTATCCCCACTTGGACACGTGAGGAAAACACTCTGGGAGATGGGAAACCACCATGGACAGCCGTGGCAGGGACAGGAGTGGCAGGAGCAGATCTTGCTCTACTCTACTCTGTACAACTAGAACCAAAAGGGGGTGGTGAGTAGCAGGAGTAGCTTGGCCTGCCGGCTCCACTCAAGCTGGTTTCTAGTTCTCACCTGGACCCTACCTCTTCAACCCAGACGTGTACAATTACCCTCTTGCCGCTACAACGCTACGTCTGCACTGGACTCCCCCAGTTTCTCCACTAGACAGATGGATTTGTCCTCCTGTATGTCCCTCAGACCCATCGGAAGAGCTCTGCAGTCAGGAGAGTAGAGTCCATGGAGGGTCTTCGCAGGAAGGGCTCTGGCCTCTGCTGGGAGAAACTGAGCCTCCTCCCACCATTCCACACCAGGGGGAGACTTCAGGGATAGCAGCCACACTGAGGACTGGTGCATACCTCAGCAGCCCCCTCACTTACAAAAAAGAAGCATTTCTCACTCTTACATGCAAACCACCTTGCTCTTCTACACCACCTTGCTCTTCTACACACTGGAACATCTACATCATTCTTTAAAGTGTTTTTTTCAGGCCTGAATGGGTGGGGGGGGATATTTTATTCTCTGTGCCATAAAGTCTATAAACTATGCAAGTGCCAAAATATGATACAAACGGCACAAACTGTACCATCTTTTCAAAAGGAAACAAAACCTGGTGGGAAACCACGATTCAGGGTTTTTGTGAATTTCAAAGCTTACAACAATAGTGATGACCACAGAGCACTGGTCAAGGCTGACCCCCACCATGCTTACCTTCCTCCCCTGTGTCAGGCCCCAGCGGAGCAGCATCCTCTTCAAAGCTGCCAGTCCCTGACCCCTCTGGTGGGGACTGGCTGTGCTGCTGGCTAAGCTTGTTTCGAAGGACAGCAATTTCTCTTTTAAGCAGTTTTGCCCGTTTACTCCGCGAGCCGCTGGACTTCATTGAGCAGGTGAGGTCCAACTTGTCCAGCAGCTCTCTCAGCTGCTCCTCCAGGCCCAGGTGGGCCCTATTGGCGGGGTCCAGCAACCTGTCCACTAAACCAAAGGATAGACACCATAAACCATCAGATTCCAGGACCCCTCTGAGAATACTACACTGGTCCCAACTGTCCCTGAAACTGCCCTTGGCCACTCAAGGCTGTGCCCAGGCCCCTCTACCCATTCTCTGAACCCACGGAGGGCCAACTGCCACAAGGAGACACAGGAGGCTTTTGAAGGAGAATCCCTACTCCCACAGCCACCAGGCACAGAGGAGGACAAGGTAGACGAGCAGAGGCGGTATCCAGATGACACCCACCTCCTGTCGAGGGTAGGTCCCAACCAGGTCTTCCTGGGTGGACAGCCAGATCTGAGCAAGGGTGCACAAGGACCACCAGAGAGATGCACATTCTCTACTAGTTCCAAGTCTGCCAGCAAAGTGATGGCATGCCAACAGGTCCACCTAGGACTGGCACTCATCACAAGATCCCAGCCAGTCTTCAGAGACAGAATACAGTGTGGCTTTTCTGAGCCTGAGCTAAAGAGCTCACAGGTGGTTCTGAATCCAGGCATATTTACTATTCAAGTCCTTACAATTTCAAAAAACACCCAAAAAAAACCTCATGGGGTACAAATCTTACACCACCGAGAGACGACCAAGAAAGAAATCACACTTAGAAGCTACCTAAGATGAAGTCAAGAGCCAAAGGAAGACAAAGCCAATCAGGCATGTGTGGCACAGTGGCCCAGGCCTCTGAAGAACCCTGAGTCCTCCTGAATACCTTGTCTCTACAGGACATGCAGCCCTTGTGTGGGAAATGAACCAACATCTGCAACGCATGCTCACATCCCTGTCGCTGTTCCCACAAAACCTCCAGAGGCAGCCCCTCATGCCACCTGTAGCCCCCAAGGAAACAGCCTTGCAATGCCGGGCTCTTCCACGGAGGCCAGCAGCTCCTCCATCTGTACCTACAGGACAACACCGTAAGACTTGGGGTGCCTGGTGCCAACAGAATAGCAGTTGCACCCTCCTTGAGCAACACCATGGCTCAAGCGTTCCCTGCCCAAGCAGAGAAAGAAATGACATTGGACTTCTCATTCTTATTTTTCTCCTCTGCAAAGTCCGGCATAGAAATTTATTTAGCAACATGCATGATCATTTTCTCGAAGATACCAACTCATAGGTCTCCAAGCCCAGTCTGTTCAGGGGAATCTTGTGGTCACAGTTAGCAGACCTTGAGGAGAAGAATCAGGGCCTAGGAGGTCAAGGGCTCCCAGTTATCACATGGGCCCTGTTTCTTTTTCTTTTTTTTTTTATACCAGGGATTAAACCCAGGGGTGCTCAACCACTGAGCCACATCCCCTGCCCTTTCTATATTTTATTTTTAGAGACAAAGTCTGAGTTGCTTAGGGCCTCACTAAATTGCTGAGGCTAGCTTTGAACTCACGATCCTCCTGCCTCAGTCTCCTGAGCCGCTGAGTCCTCCTGTTTCTAAGGGCAGCCAGCACCATGTGGAGGGAACAGTCTCTGCCGAGGGCCACAGCTGGTGAAATTCCACACCACACAGGAAAGGCTGGGGGGCTGTTCCCCTTCTCCCCACATGCAGACTGGAGAAGACGTTCAGGGAAGTGAGGTGAGTGTGGAAGAATGAGGTCACTCCAAGACCATGATTCTCAGACCTACTTCTACCCAGGACCCCAGGGAACATGACAGAATACAATGGCTCTGACCTAACCAGCTCTATCTGGGATTGCCAAGAGTCATCAGCTCCGAGTTTTGAATCTGTGGCTTTTTCCCAATTTTCTACAAAAATACACATTCCCCTTGAAACCAGAAACAAAAAATAAAAAGACATTCCCTTCTTTAAAAAATAAAAAAAAAGTTCAACCTATCCTGCATGCCCTAGTGCTGGCAGGAAATGGTCCCTCTGGGCTAGATACAGGGGCCAGCAGCCAGCAGCCCACAGGGAGACCTATGTCCTAGCTGAAGCCACAGTCAACAGGGAATGGAGGGAAAGGAAGATACCCAGACTACACCAATCCAAGTCCAGTCTCAGTGATTACCAGCAGGCGGGTCAGGCCAAGAAACCAGGAATATGAGAACTCTGAACAAATGACCCAAATACCATGACTTTTAACTAACAACTCAGAATTCAGGAAAACCATGCTTTAGGGTGCTTTACCTACTCATGTGGACATTCACGCCACTCAATAAACACCAATATGGGCTTGAGAAGCAAGGGTCAGCAAGGCTTCCATAGATTGCTCAGAGGAGGAGGCAGATGAGAGGCAGGCAGACATGGCATGTGCCTGGGGCAGCCAAGAAGTACAGGCCCAACTGGGGTCAAGAGGTCCAGGGACACACTTTTCCTCAGGCCCTTCTGCAACATGTGCAAACCATGAGTAGAGGTCAAAGGCAAAACCAATTAGTTTCTACCCTTGTCTGTCAACTCTGACAAGAACTGCAAGACATCCTCATAAGCCGAACAAGGGCCCCGCTGGGTACAAATCTCTAACTCAACTACCTTCATGGTCTGTATCATGGAGACCTGGGCTGCTGCAGGTCAAATGTGCCTGAAATGTAACAGGACCCGAATGATATATGTTGTATACAATACACACCAGGTTGCAGAGAGAATAAAAAAAATAAAACAAGCACCCTCTGGCATATCTGCACTGACCACATGGCAGGAATCCTGATGCTTTGCACAGTGGGCTGGGAAGAGCATCCTCCTGTCTTTGCCTGGACACAGCACCAGTTCTTACCATCTTCCCAGGAGAAAGGCCGCCGAGGGGGCACAGCAGGCCGCTCGGGTAGGTGCATTCCAGAGGCCTCTTCCAGGCCAATGCCGTCCAGCTGGCGCCGGGCCTGCCTTAGAACCACGCCGCCCTGATCGCGCAGCCTCACTGCGGCTCTATAAAACACGGTGTCCTTGGCATTGTACTTCAGGCAGTTATCTACAATGAGGTCAAAATCCTCCTCAAACGCACGCAGATTTCTATACCCCTGAGCTTCTAGCCTTTTCCTCATCGTGGCAAAGTCCATGGGATGTTTAATATGGTCCAGATAATCCGGTACCTGATTTTGGGGAGGAAAACAATCATTTACAAACTAAAACAGGGTTCTGAGCTTACTCTACTTACCTACACTAGCAATCATATTTGTGAGCCACACCCATCTCAAGAGTATTTTCATACAGCTAACAAATGGTAGCACCAAAGCAAGCTGACAAAGACCCTCCTGACCCAAGTTTCTTTAGCTACAAGTACCACTGGCAAGGCAATGGTGCCAATTGCTGAGGCTGAGAGGAGACGCCCTCAGGCACTTGCTGTACTTCACAGTGAAACCTATTTTTAATAAAATACTTATATACAAAAATCCTGCTCCATTTGTGTACAATGAATCAAAGAGTATTCTGCTGTCATGTATAACTGATTAGAATAAGTAAGTAATATATACATGCATTAAATAAAATTAGAATATGTCTACAGTCTTCCCCAGCTAAACATTAACCATCAAACAGCAACTCTTGAGACAGAAAAGCAACACACACCTCCTTCAAACTCACGGGCTGGGCAAAGATCTTAGCGGGGTCCTTCTCCTGCAGCTGCTCCAGGACTGAGCGCAGCAGCACAGTCAGTGGAGTCAGCCGCAGCTCCATGGCCATCTGTTCCACCTTTACCTGCAACAACAGCACATGCTCACCATCAGGGACTTAGTCACACCCCTTGGGAACCTTGGTTCCTTACGTTCTGCACAGCCACAGAAAAACCCCTGCAGACCAGGCATCACATGTAGGCCAGCCCCTGCTACAAGGCAGCCCTCCTCCTGAGCCCTGCCTATACTTATTTCAAGGAAGCTATCAACACAGCCTTCTGTTAAGGACCTGCAATCCAGGGGCAGTCACCTGACCTGGCTCAAGGGAGGTACAACTGTGGGGCTAAGTATGAGGCAGGAACATGCTGGGAAGTGGGGCTGCCTAAGGGTGTCTCCAGAGCTCCTGTGAGGCAAACAGGCGTCCTGGATACCCACAGGTCGCTCAAGGAACAGCCCAGGGTAAAGGGGGACCTCACCTGCTCACGCTTGAGCTTCTCCCTCTTGCGCAGCAACTCGATCAGCAGTCGGGCGCGCTCCAGATCATGCCGGAGCCGCTGCCAGTACTTCAGCTTCTCTTTGGCTGCTTTCATTTCTTCATCGTTTTCTCTCTGAAAACATTAATTGAAACTTCCCCTCAGTCAAGCACACAGACTGTTCCTGCCAACGGCCTCAGATGCCTGCACAAGCAGAGCCCATTGTCCTTGCATGCCAGTACCAGCCACATAGGTGTCCCACAGGTCTGTCATAGCTGTGGAGCTGAGGGAGCTACAGGACCCCAGGAGAGCATGACAGGAATGCACCAGGTGCACAAAACCAGTTCTGTGTCCATCCACCTCACAGCGTAGAGTAGCTTGGGCTCTGGGCTTGCAGAGAGGCGTGGGACAGGCATGCTGACACCCAACCCTGCCCTTGGAGATGGCTACACTCTGCAGTCCCCAAAGACGGCTCCTCTCCTGCCTTCCCTCCTTGGGGGGGACAGGGTGGTGGACCAGGCAGCATGTGCCATGACCTCCCCATGGACTATGCCAACCTGTTCCCACGCCAACCTGTTCCCACGCCAACCTGTTCCCAACAAGTCATAGATATGAAAGCACAGTACTGCAAGCCATGGCATGTGGTGGTAAAGAGCATGCTGGGTCTGCCTGGCCGTATAATCAGTCACCCTGGCTATACAGAGGTCTTAGCAGGATGAAGAACCACAGCAACCCATGCTGGCCCTACAGGCTCACAGAAGCCTCTCAGAGGGTGTACTCAGAGGCACAGGCACACTCCCCTACAGCAACCACTGCAGAGTATCCAGCAAGACAACCAAAGCCCTTCCCAGCACAGGACCAGCTCTCTAGCCACATGGCAGCAAATGACAACCAGAAAATTTATCAGCCAATGTAAGACATGCCAACAGGACTCCAGCACTCCTATACCTTATCCAGTCAAGACCCCACCCCTCTGCTCCCCTGCTCCGGGCCTCTCTCTGACAACACTTCAAACTTCCTTTTCTTGCCCAGTCAGGGCACACCCACACTAAGAACACTGGTCCTCAGGTCACTGCCCAAAGTGAACACCCATCCTCTGCCTTATGGAGGAGGGACATGGCAGGGACACTGCCCCCCACTCACAGGACCACACAAGACAGCTTATGTCCAGGACCATCTCCATACAGTGGCTCAGCATGCCCTGACCCCACCACCAAGGGATGGAAAATGGCCTACCTGGGATGTCTGCCCTGTACTGCTGAAGGATGACCCCTGGACACACACCACTGGGCAGCCACAAGCCAGGAGCTGACATCAATTTCTAGAACAAGCCCTACACTCAGGGAGCCACGCTATCTCTGGGCTGCTCTGCCCCTCACGTTCCCACACCCGGAGGACAAGCATGCTTGTTCAAGGATACAAGGTCTGATGGCAAATGGTCACGGACTCCACCACTCAACAGTGAAGAAGCCCTGAGTAAAGATGGTGCAGGAAGGCCAGGAGGCACACAAGCCAATGTACCCTGTGCCCATCTCAAACCAGGTTCCTGCCTGCAGGGAAGCAGTGTCAGCGCCTATCATAGCACAGGTCACAGGGAACACCTAATGCTACTGGAAATTCTCAGGCATTGAATCAGGATTAACAATTTCACTCACATGAACAATGCCAGTAATATATTTATAATGTGGATCTGACAAACCACATCCCTAAAAGCATCTGAAAATCATTCTGCCTATTAATTGGAAACATCCTGAGGATACTTGGCCTGGACCATGACACCAAATACTCTTCTAAATACCAGGAAGCCCCTTCATGTTCACGAGCTAGCAGAATGTGCTAGTTTGCCCAAGGCCTAGGTTTAATAAGAAAATGCCATCCAGCAGCAACGTGGTCACATGCATGTTGATGGAGCACTGTGGCCCTCACTCCTGCATGCCATGGCATCATGACTGAAGGGCCCAAGGACACACAGTCTCGTCTACTCCAAAGTCCTAAACCTCCTTGTTCTGCAAATGTCAACTGTGGAAGACACCTCATAGGAGGACCGAAGTAGAGAGGTTTCCGAGAGGGGGAAGTACAGAGGTGGTTGGCCACTGGCAGGAAGAAATGCCCACCCAAGCTAAAGAGCCTCTATTCAAAAAACAGGAAGAAGACCCAAGTGCTGGGATGGGAGGCGTCCCCCATGGTGAGGAATGGCTCAGCAGTCATAACAGAAACCCCGGTGCTGAGGGATATGCCAGTAGCCAGCTCCACAACAACAAATCCCATCCTGGACACTGCACCAAGGGCCTGAGACCCAGAGAGCAACCAGTCCAGCCCAGCCAGCCCCAGTCTCCCTGAGACGCCACCAGCAGGAGGCTGGGAGGGCTGGCAACCTAGAGGGAGTTGACAGACACACTCGCATGGCAAGAAAGGAAGACCCAGGGAGCAGGATGAATGGAGAGAGGCCAGACTGAGTACACAGCTGCCAGACTGCAGGCCCAATCTATGCAGCCACCTTATTTCTTCCTCCAGACAGGGAAGAACATGGTACTTGTCCTTCCACTGTCTAGGGCATACAGCCCTCTAAGAATGGCCTCCAGACCCCAGCTGCACTGTTGGCAACCTTGGGGGCCTAGCTTTCAAAGTTGCTCATCCACCCTGTCTGTGATATACCTGAACGGTCAGCCACGGGACCAAAGGGCTCTGCCAGTCTTCTCCCAGGGCCTGGATGAGGACAGACACCCAGAAACCTGGGCAAATCAAATTCTAACATCAAGTATTTCTACTTTCAAAAACCATTAAGAGCCAGGCACGATGACACACATCTATCATCCCAGCAACTCAAGAGAGAGGAGACAGCAAGTTCCTAGACCAGCTTGAGCAACTTAGCAAGACCCTGTCTCAAAATAAAAAATAAAAAGAGCTGAGGTGAGACTCGGTGGTAGAGTATGTGCCTAGCAAGCAGGAAACCCTGAATTCAGTCCCCAGAACCACCACCAAAAAAAATTAAGTCTTTTAAACATTCCCTGAACAGCAAGCACCACTGTCATGGAACCCCTAGAAAAATCAATCCTCATAGGACAATATAGGAGTAATCTGGGGCTGTCACCCATCAGTTCCCGCTTATCCCAACATGGCACTGCAGGTGCATATGCCCCACCAGAAGGTCAGCATGGTCATCAGCCCTTTCAGCAATTCCAAGTCCCTCCTCCCCAAAGCCCTCTTAACTGAGAGGTAATGCAGGCCTCCTGACACCACTGTGGAATATGCTGGGCTCCAGTCCACAGACCCTTCTTCTCCACCTCCTAGTGAGGTGTCCTCATAGACTTTCCTGGGACTGGATCAGTCTGACCCACCCAAGCACCTGGTGGCACCATCTTCTCCCATCTTGTCCTGTCTCCCCCTTTTCCTCCCTGGCCTTCCTACCAGTTCCATTTTGCCCAGGCCCAGCCACCCACAGACCACACAAGCCCTGCATCCTTCAGTGTTTGTGAAGGGCAATGATCCCCACAGCCTTCAGATCCCTCCCAGCCACGTCAGTGCTCTTTTCATGGAGACTCTATTGACATTTGCTCCTTTGTGACTTTTTTCCCGGCTTAATGGAAAGCCCCCTCCAGCCAGGGATGAGATCCAAGGTCTAGATTCTCCACTGCCACTGGCCACAACTCTCTTTCCCAAATTTCCATCATCACAGAAGCACAGCTGAAATCCTTGATCCTGCCAGTGTCCACCGTGGCCACATACTCCTCCACTCTGTAACTCAATGTCCTAAAGGATCCCCTGCCTCAAGTTCCTCTCCTCTATACCTGGAGCCCCTGTGGGGTTGTGGAGTAAGAAAAAAGGATGTAGAAGGGTGAACAACAGTGCCTCACAGCAACGGGGTGAAAAATATGGTTGAGTCACTCAACAACCAAGAAAAACCCACTGAAGCCGCTGCTCTGCCAGGCACTTCAGAGCCTGGCGATATAAGGATGCTTGCCAGTGAGGGGCTGACTTACAAGCTCAAGCTCCCCTGCAGAACACAAAAGAAGGAAAGATGCAAGTGGGGGAGTCTGCTCGTGGAGGCCCCAGACTCTCCACAGTCACTAGGAGATTATAGTGAGGAGCAGTTTCTATCCATAGCCTCTCCCAAGCACCAAGGACTCCACCACCCAGATCAGACCCACAGACCAGCCAGCTCTCCAGGGAGCAACACGGGGCAGCCATTCACAGGTACAAGCAATCTGTCCACTCAGGGCTCTGTCAAGCAGCACCACTGAGCTGACAGCCAACCACATTCACCCCCTAAATCACAGGGCCCCACCAGGAACTCTAGAGCCACACACTCCTACCAAAACCAGAGCTGAATTTCACAGCAGACTAATAATGCTACTCCCTGCTCAGGACTGCAGCACAGGACAAGGGCCGCACAAGGGTCCCATGAGGCTCCACCCAGCCCTCCTAGCCTCTCAGCCTGAGGAGGTGGCTGACACAAGACACACCCTCCCAGAGACTGGCCTTTCCTTGCAAAACACAAGTGAGCAGAGCTGCCAGATATATATTTCTGGGTGGTGTTCAGGAGTACCATTTTTTGTCTTCAATTCATTTTTGTGACATCTTACAGAAGCCACTTCTTTACTTTCTACTTTTCTTTTACTTTTTTTTACATTCTTTCAAAACTGTTTTATAATATCGGATGGCTCCTTAGGTCTACATTAACAATTAAAATGTTGAACTGTTATGGTGCCTGAGCTTGTTCTTCTTAAAAGGAAACCTCTGGACCCTCTCAGCTCCTTTCCTCCTCACTAAATGTTAAAACTGGCCTTCAGAGCAAAGCCCTGAAACAAATCACTCCTATGCAAGGCTGCCAGCGCCCACCGTGCAGACCAGCCATCAGACCCAGGCGCTCCTCCAACTCCTTCCTGCTGTCCCTGCTCCGAACACTCACGCAGCCAATGTGACAACAGCTTCCCTGGGCAGCACTTTCTGCCCCCAGAGCTGCCAAGTGCCAGGCATGGGGCCGACAATTCATCAGCCTGTGCGATAGGTAACAGAAGGAAGAGCAGACACAAAGGCCGTGAGGATGCATGTGTCACCTGCACAATCCCAGCACAAAGGCCCAGTGCCACATCCTGCCTAAAGAAAGTGTCCTCCATGCCAGGGGCTGTCTGCTCAGTGTGGTCAGTGTGTCAGGAGGCAAGAGACACTGAGGCTGACAAGGCGCATGCACGTACCTGCTGCGTGTTTCTCTGGGACTGCAGGCTGGACTGGAGCCGCCGCAGCAGGGGAGCGCCATTCCTAGACAGCCTTTTGAGTAACCAGTAGCTGTGGGCTCGCTCCACAAACTGCTTCTTCCGCTGAATGGCCACCTGATTCGCAATCCTATTTAATCTAAAACATGGAAAAACTCAGAGTTTAGCTTTGAAGCAGTACATTCAAATGTTTTCATCAAAGAAACTAGAAATGAAGCATTACTTTTAATAAAACCACAGGTTCATAATTTAGTCTTCTCCTGAGCCATGATATACATTATTTCTACTATCCCTAGTGATACAAAAACAAAGTTCACAATTCAGCTATTTGAAAATTTCATCTACCAAAATATGTATCAGATTAAACATCTAAAAAGAAAGAATTGAGCAAAGCTTGAAGTACTTGTGATTCTTTGCGTGCTCTCTTGCCTATTCACGGGCTGGCTGGGGCCATCACTGCTGTGCTGAGGCTTCTCAGAGTGCCACTCAACTCTCAAGGAAGACAGACTGGCCCACAGGAGGGACAGCAACTGACAGCCAGGGTGGGGAGAGTCTGTTCTGACTAAGTGACAACTGGGCCTCTCCAGACTCCGGAGAAACCTCATTTTTCTAGGGACTACAAAATGCAAAATGGTAAAAACATCTGCATGAGAATGAGGTCCTTATTTAAACCCTTAAAGGCCAGCCAGAGAGGCTTTCTGCTAGAACAAAAGATGGCCCACCATCAATTTGCCTCAAGGAAGCCAAAAAATGATAAATTCAATCATAAACCAGCACTTACTGCAATAAGCAGCTCCTCACCCCCCACCAAACATCAAAAGTTTCAAAACTGTTTTATGATATCGGATGGCTCCTTAAATTAAAATTAAGGAATTTTGAGTTCAACTTTTTCAAGACTTAAAATCAAAACTTTTACAAAATAAAAAAGAAACAAAAACATCAGGTAGAAAGCACAGCTCCTTCCTGAGACTGCTCCCAATCTCTCTGCTGTAGGTCTCCTGCCCTGAGGCTCTCCTTGGGTCACCAGGACCCTTTCTGTGCCTGCATGCTCAAGGCAGCCCAGGCACCCAGCCCACATCTCCAATGAAGGTGACTGCAGCACACTAAAAGGCTGGGCTTTAGCAAAAGTGGAGTGGGGGACCCTTGGGCTCAGACCATGGCCCCACACAGGTTCTACAACCACAGGTTGGATAGGGCTGGTCATGCTCAGCTCATGGACTACTGCTTGGCACAGCAGTTTTACCACTTCTGACTGTGAAGTGAACTGTGTGAATCCTAACACTACATAGCCCAGAGCAGCTGCACCCAGACAGGGATGCTGGGACACAGAACCTTGGGTTCTTTTAATGATCAGATAAGGCAAAACAAATGGAAGTATATTTGAGCAATCTGAAGAGACAAGGAAATGCTGGTTGCAATTCATTTCATGAAGGACCTCATAAGACCAACCACACCTTCTGCAGCAGCAGGATCTCTGGAAACATGCATAGCCCCAGGGCTGCAACGGAATCACATGTAAAGTGCACCCCAGAAGACAGCACTCAGACACCACAGGTGCAACACTGGCTCTGCCCTCGTGAGCCATGGCTCACCCCGAGGCGGCACCAGGTGCACAGGCTGCAGCCACTACCTCCTGGCAGAAAACACAGCCACACTCCAACCTGCACCCATCAACCAGTCCAACTACCAGCTTACTAGGAGTGCAGGGTGGAACACACACCAGACTGCACCAGGGACACGTAATCAACCCAAGCCCAGTCGGGGGTCCGCTGCAGACAAGAACCTGGGAGGACCCCCAACAATTAAATTGCAAAGAAGAGACCAAAGAAGAGAGATCAAAAGACATAAATGCTGGATGTGGTCTGTCCCAAGAGTCCATGGACAAGAAGGCTAATTGCCAGTGTGGCAATTTGAAGAGGTGCCCAGTGGAAGGTCAAAAAAACAGCTGCTCTCCACACTCTGGCTTCCTGTCTTGCCACATTTGCTCCCACCAGAGGCCAAATCCATGAGACTGCCCCAGCTTGAACTTGCAGCTCCAAAAAATGCTGGGTCCTAGAGGATGGGAAGAGGCTAGCAGGGGATGGGGCTGGCAAGGCCTTGCCTTCTGACATGAATGGTGGTTACAGAGGTGTTTACAGTAAATCAACAATGCACACATCAGTTTTACAACCTTTCCAATCTTGTATTGTATGTACAAAATTTTTAAATATTCATCATCAGTGCACTCAAAATTTTCTCAGTACAGCTAATTTTAAAAGCAAGGTGTCTTCAAGGGGAAGGTTTCAGGTACATTTTGGTGATACAGCATTTAGAGAGAACAATAAACACCTACGCCTTGCAATAGCAGGTTACTCTAAACCCTCTTTCAGGGCTTAAGCTTGCCCACCTTCTACCTTCTGGAGAAATTCAAGCGTTTAAGTGGAGGTCAACTGATAACATCAGTTTGTAATTTTTGGTATAACATTTTTTGGCTTATTTTATTCATTTATTTGGTGCTCAAGATCAAACCCAGGGCCTCATACATGCTAGGCAAGCATTCTACCATTGAGCCCCAGCCCTTGGTATAATATTTTAAATAGTTTTTTTGGAAGCTAATACTTGAGTACAGTGCTACAATAAAACTGCATTTAATACAACCTACTTTAGATGTGACCAACATTTCCACCACTCACGCATATAAAAACAAACCAGGACAAGAACTAAGGGTGAACTTGTCTCACTCCCACAGTAAGTAATGTTTGTCTGTGCAAAGGTTAAGCTTTTTTTTTTTTTTTTTGATTGAACTCAAGGGCACTCAACCACTGAGCCACATCCCCAACCCTACATTGTATTTTATTTACAAACAGGGTCTAAGTTGCTAAGCGCCTCGCTGTTGCTGAAGCTGGCTTTGAGCTTGTGATCCTCCTCTTCAGCCTCCGGAGCAGCTGGGATTACAGGTGCGAGCCACTGCACCCAGCGTGGAAGCTGTCTTTTTTAAAATTCCATTTACTTGGGCTGGGGTTGTGCTTCAGTGGTACAGTGCTCTCCTGGAGTGCTCAAGGCACTAAGTTCAATCCTCAGCACCACATAAATGTAAAATAAAGATATTATGTCCACCTAAAACCAAAAAATAAATATTAAAAAAAATTGCAACAATAAATTCCATTTACTCCAGATACACATCTCCAGTAAGCATCACCTGTGGTCAACTCTCAAGCTGAATACTTGGTGTTTCCATGTGTATTGACAATTTTAACAACTTATCAACAGGAAACCTAGGTCCACCTGGCATGCACTGGGACAATGGACAGCAGAAAGAAAGCAGCCCTGGATAGAAGCCACATGTGCCAGGTCAATGTCAGACTACTCTCAATCCACCATACCACCTTCAAAAGTATGTGCACATCACTTCATGTCCTAGAAGTTACAACTCTCCACCATTGGACCCTGAAGTGATAAACGCCAGATTCCAATTCAAAGTGCAAACTGCTTTTTAAAATTACTTTAGGGACTCATGTAAGGAAAGATCTAAAGAATTCAGAATTTGAGAGGGGAAGAGAATGGAAGAGAAGCTTCCAGGCTGCAAAGACTTAAGCCCCCACCTCAACTTTTAATCAAGACTTAAGGGAAAACAGACTACAACTGATCTCAACAAAGACACAATTCAAAGAAACAAGAAAGAGGCCCCTGAAACCTGGACTGAGATGCCAGAAAAGCAATCTGATCTACACCTGTTAAGCCACGACATGCATTGGGGGCGCCTGGGGAAGGGTCCCCTCAAAGAGGAGTGGCAGAGTCAGGTGCTCATGGCACGTCAAGGAGAGGAGATTCCTGGATACCTGTTGATAGAGACTACATTAGCAAAAACTACCTGAAATGAAACATAGGCACGGAAAGAGCCAACACTGTTAGGATGCCAACACCAGGCTGGGTGCAGCTCAGAGTGGAGCACTGGCCCAGGTGCACTAGGCCCTGGATTCCACCCCAGCACGGCATACAGGAAAAAAAGAACATACAAGGAAAACCAAAATTTGTTCTTGGAAGGAACTTCCAGAAAGGAACTTCAGAAAGATCCCTTCGAGGAAAAAAGACCAAAACTGTTGGGAAAAAGTATAACAGCAGCCGCACCCCAGGAAAAAAAACCCAACATGGCACCCAAGGACCTTCTCTTCCTATTTTCCCCTTTTTTCACTGACTCAAAAAGTTCCCGCTGGTGTGAACTCTCCCGCTGGTGCCAATTTCAAAGCTCGTTGACGGGAAACCTTAGCCCCAATGAGAACTAATTTCGTGGGCTCTGGAACTGACATCTGGAAGAACTTACCAATAAACGAGTGGCCTGTCATTTACCTAAGCCCTGCTACCTCTCCTTAGATCTATATAAGCCCACAGCCTTTAGTAATAAAGTGGAACTCTCCCAGGCAAAGTGCTAGTTTCCAAAGGCCTTAACAAGCACTTGGAGGCTCAACATCCCCCACTGACCCCAATCTTCGAGTAAGGTTGAGAGGCCTAACAGCATTCTCAAGGACCATCTCACCAAACTTGCTATTGAACTCAGATTGTCCGGGCCCAATCTTTTGCCATTGGCCCTCACCCAAATTCAGGCAACTCCTTGAGCCCCCTCAGGCCTTAGCCCCTTTGAGCTGTTCTATGGGCACCTTTCTTAATCAACAAAAACTTTCCTGTCACTCCCCCCCCTTATGTCCTACCTGCCCTATCTCATACTTCTGTACAAACTCCTAAGAAAACACGCAGACCGGTGTCTTCCTGCACCATCTGCTACTTCTGTTCCAGCACAATCAGGAATTGAATCGGACCCTCTTCAACCGGGTGATGCAGTCTTACTTTGAGAGCTACATTCTCAGTCGTTGAAACCTCGCTGGACCGGACCTCATACAGTCATATTTCCACCATGCTGGGGCCCATCAAACTCAAAGTTTCTCACCAACCCTCTCCTGTTACTAATCATTAATCTCTCTCAAGCTTCTATCCCAACCCACAGATGGAGCTTCTACATCCAAGTGACATGGCAACAGGATGGCACCACCTACTCAGTTTATGGGTCAAGACTTACCCTTTCACTGGCTGTAATTGGGCCCTTAATGTTACTGGATTCAACTGGATCACCTCATCCCACTTATGTTCAGCAATGCTATGCTTCAC